GGGAAACCTGTTCCTGGCAGGCAGATGTACATGCCAAAAACATTCTCCCTTCTATGTGCTCATTATATGGTGATGCTTTAGTATAGTTTATCTAATTTTGTAAGCCTACTAGCTACAGTTCTCTAGATAAAGCTGTGTTATAGAGGGTCATGTGCTGCTTCAGAAAGCACCATTGTAGAAGATTAAAGGATTATTTTGGTACAAACTGAGAGAGGCCTACAAGGTCAAAAATCTCTTGGTTTACATTGGTGCTGTGTGGTTGGATTGAATCTCGTTAGTTTCAATATTTTTTTTTAATAGTTTCCCAAAGTAGTCAGGATTATGTTTTAAATGTTTTATATTTTTCCCTACGCATAAGAAAAAACACTGCATAGAAGCATAATTGTTGAACAATTACTGTGGTGCACTAACTCAAAATAATTTTTCCTTTTTTTTTAGATGCTTACAGTTATTACTCAGTTTGTATTTTTGCTAATCTCAGGATTCTTTTAGGAACTGATATATAGGGGGTTTTAAATTTAATTTAATTTTATTTTTTAAACTGTTTTGGTCTTGAGTAATGTACTGTGGTTTTACTTCCCAGAAACTGTTCCGGGAAGAAATAGTTCCCATGTGCTCTCATTTGTGTAGATGTCTTTACACAGCAAAGCAGTGCATTTCCCTGATGGGGCAACCAGTTGAGGTTAGTCTTAAGACAGATTAAAAAATAATTGAAAATGACACACAGTTTCCTGATTGGATTGTCTGTATTGGAATACTGGTAGTTGGCTTGGGGCAGTGTGAGAGAGAGTGAATGAATAGAGATGGGGGGTTGTGCTGGTTTTGGCTGGGGTAGAGTTAATTTTCTTCATAGTAGCTGGTATGGGGCTGTGTTTTGGATTTGTGCTGAAAACAGTGTTGATAATATAAAGATGTTTAAGTTACTGCTGAGCAGTGGTTACACAGAGCCAAGGCTTTTTCTGCTTCTCAGAGCATGCCGCCAGCGAGCAGGCTGGAGGTGCACAGGGAGTTGAGAAGAGGACACAGGTGGGATGGCTGACCCCAACTGACCAATGGGATATTCCACAGCATATGATGTCATGCTCAGCATATAACTGGGGAAGCTAACTGGGAGGTGGGATCGCTGCTCAGAGACAGACTGGGCATCGGGTTTTGGTTTTGGGTTGGGTTTTTTTTTCCTCTTCTCTGCAGGTCATGAGCAATTGCATTTGTGCATTACTTATATTATTATAACAATTGTTATTGTTGATTATTATTATTCTCTTCCTTTGTTATCCTATTAAACTGTCTTTATCTCAACCCATGAGGTGTTTTTTTTTTTCCATTCTCCTTCCCATCCCACTGGGGAGGGGTGGTGGGGGAGGAGGAGTGAGTGAGCAAGGAAGCAGCTGTGTGATCCTTAGTTACTGGCTGGGGTTAAACCATGACAGGGGTGTAGCTTGGTTTGACTTTGTACTGTCTTACATGAGTTTGCAGTGTGCAGAGCTTCAGGGTTTGGTGCGGCAGCACAATTAATAATGTAAGAACCGTTATGCTGAGGGCTGATGTTTGGGAAAAGGGGTAACAAGTGAAAGGCAAGTGTCCAGAGAGATTTCTAAGTGGTGTCCCAGCCTCCAACATTTTGTGGCTCAGGGACTTTGTGAGCCAACGGGATTTTATATTTAACGCAGTTCAATTTTGTACTTCATGAAGTTTCTATGCAAACTTCAGGTATCTACCAACATCTTACTAAGGTGATCTTGTGTCCGCTGCTGCTGAAAAGGAAATCTTACACATGCCATCCTATCTCCTACATCTGGTACTTCTCTACCCTGTTTTGGCATGTTTCAGACACCCCTTCTCTCTCTCCTGCTTTAACTAATCCAATGAAGAAAGGGGAGATGACTGGGGAGAGGGAAGAGGGAGAAGGTGAAGCCAACTTAGGGCCGAAGGAGTTGGGACTGATCGTGCTTGGCTGCAGCAGGCAACAGAATGGCTTTGTTGTGACATCCAGCTGTACCCTGCAGCCCTGGCAGACAACAGCAATGCTCTTAACAGTGTCACAAGCACGTGTTCAGACTCAGTATTTTAAAGCTTGAACTTCTATTAAATGAAGCCGTTAAATGCTGTAATTTTTTGCTTGGATTTGCTCACTTAGAAACAAAATTAAACTTCCTTAAGCCTGTCTTGCCCCTTCTGGCCCCAAAAGAAAAAAAGTCTTTCCCTTTTCCTCTTTGTTTTTAATTATGATGTGAAAACTGCCCCTCCTGGTCTTAGTTGCAACATTGCTGTGCTCCTTCTTTCGTCTCTCTTCTGTAGTGGCTTTCTCCTTTTTCCTTATAGCCTAATGCTCTATCAATGTGATTTTGTTTTTATCAATGTGGGTTTAGGGTTTTTTGCTAATTGGGGGGGCGGGGGAGAGGAGGGGTGGAGTGGGAGTGGCATAGTCTCTTGCTTGTTAGGTTTGTGAAGTTGAGTTCTCTTCTAATGATTCAATACTTGTGCCTGGATGGCACGAGGTTCCCTGCTTTCTTGAAGGTTTTTAAATGGCTGTGCAAAAAAATGTAGCAAAAAGAACCAAGGAAGGTGCTAAGAATTTGAGAAGAGTGTGTGTGTGGAGGAGGGGGGAAAAAAAAAGAAAATTCTAATATTTATTTTACTTTAATTTTTTTTTAATATGATATTTTTGGAGCACCCATTGAAAATGCTAGAAGGCACTGAGTTGACAGTGCTGGGTGAGAGCCAGGGATCTATTCATTTATAGTGGAGAAGGAGAAAACCACATGAAGTAATTCTGTGCTTGTTTTTACTCTTGCAAGTTATTGTAGCCACTGAGATTGTCTTACTAGCTGCAGGTGGACTCTATGTAGCTGAAGTTACTGATGTGTAATTGTTTGTAGCACCAAACCTTAGAAGGTTTTTTTAGTTGCTGGAAATTGGAAAAAGGCAGCAAACTTCACAAAGACTAGAAGTTAACAGGGATTTCAGGCAAACCTGTGTTCAGCCCAAACTATTAATCAGTTACATCTGTATTCCACTTGTGTTTTTTTGTGAAAGGATCTTCCTGTTTTGTTTTCAGTCCTTGACACCAGTCAGGGACATATGCCCACCTCCTTGTGCTACCAGACCTCAGAGATGTGTGCAGGAGGGAGGGAATATAAGGGTGCTTGATGCCAAGTCAGCATTGTGCTGCCGTGAGTGGCGTGGACATCCACAGGGACGGCTGAGTCCTAACTCCTCCTGGCACAGAGGTGGCTGCAACAAGCTGTGAGGGAAGGAGGAGCTATGCTGCTAATGGCTTTCTGTAGAGTTGGAAACAGCCCCAACAGGATGAGCTTTGTCCACACCAGCGTTTCCTAATAAAAGGCAGGGCTGTTGTTACGATCCTGAGCCAGGGTGACTGTCGTGGCTGTGTTGTGGATGCTCTGCTTTTCCACCCCATGCCAGTGCAGTGGCTGATGAGATGCCAACTCCAGCGTCTGTGTGTTGCTCGGTTGTGTAAATAGAGACATGGTGTTGGTGAGAGGTCCCTGCACGCTGCTGTGCCCTTCTCTCTGCCTGTGGCATTCCAGTCCTAGGACTTACTTTCTTAGTGATGGACAGCCTAGCTACTGTATCAGCATTTAAACACATTAGTAGCATTTAGTTTCTTCAAGGTGTCTGCTAAGCATCCCTTTGAAAGCAAACCCACTGGACACCAGAACTTCAAATCAGGACACAGGCATGTTTGAAGGAGGGAAGTGTTATTCAGGACTTACACCAACAGCACATTAGTACGCTCTGTGCCAGGATTCACTGTACTCTTCTGCTTAGTTGCTTGATCTGACCAAGCAGTGATAAAATAGCTTTTTTAGTAATTTTAGTAACCTTTTTTCGGAGATGAAGACATTTATATTAGTAAAAATTGCCTGCGCTTTAAAGCTAAACCTGCTGGTTTATCTGTTCATCTTCTGGTGTCTTCAGTTCCAAATTATTAATGCTGATGGTCTTTCTACCTTGGCAAAACATAAACATTATTCTGAGTGGCTCATTATATTGGCATCAAAATATGTGCATTTCCAAAAGAGGCCATAGTTGTTTATTCCTTGGCTGGTAGACAAGGCAGAAAACAATTATGAAAAATTAGTTGTTAATGATCTTGCTTTAAGTTTCTCATAAAAAATTGCCAAGCACATGTAGTAATTTTTAACCCTAACTATCTGTTCCATATGCCAGGAAACTCAAATTTTATTTAAAAGTTGTTTATGTTGAAGCTTGCTCTTGGATAAAACTGAGCATGGCCTTAAATATAGGTGTGAGAAGAGACTTTTGTGAAGTTATTGTATGGGACTGATAGGTGTGTGTGAACACGGTAGTCCATTTGCACATTTTTATATATTAATAGAAGTTGTGTAATTTTTCGTGTATGCAGCCAAAACTACATTGTTATTTGTATTTAACACAGTATCTTAGCATATACTTGGGCATAGATCCTCTAAAATATTGCTGTGTTACCTTTCCAGCATGGAAAAGTTTTATTCAATATGAAGCGTTAGAAATCAGGAGCCTAACTGAATTTCTGGAACCATAGCTTTGCGGGACTAAAGAAATATATCTTTCCATCTTAATGTCCCAGAGAGTATAATATGAAGGAGTGCTATATTTAAAAAATAGAGCAAACGGAATCATCAAAAGTATGTCAATGCTGAAGGTAGCCTGGAGAGCAAATAACTTAGAAGGCAAATTGCTGCTGCTAATGATTTGCAGCTACAATGAATTTGTTTTGAAACTGTGGAACAAATTTTGTTAGACATCCTCAGCTTGCAGGTTGATTTCATGCTGTAACTGAGGCTGGACATATAAATCAAGATTTTCTGTCTGTGACAGCATAGCTGTGCAAACGCATCTAAAGTAAGCTTGTAAAAATAATTTTTTTGTGTGATAGTGCAATCGTTCACAAAACAAGGACTTTGTGGGTATATCCATCTGAAAATATTTGTCCAAAAGAAATTAACCTGGATTAAAATGCTATTACTGTAGACAAGTTGTCACCATCCAGCGATAATTTCATTAAACATCTGTTGGAATTACACAGTTCTGAGTACTGAAGATATTTGACTGCCTTCAAGAAGGCAGCTTACATGGAATAAATCAGCACTTTAAAATGACATTTATTCTTCTGAAGAAGCTGAATTTGAAGGTTAGAAATGACTCTCACATATTTACCAAGGCACTTTGGTGAAGGAAAAGTTAGTGGCCGAAGTCAGCTAGAACTGCATTTTTCCCCTCAGATATTTACACAGGCGGCCTGCATGGGTAGATGACTGAAACAGAATAGATTGTAGTGCTGGTTATTGTAAGAGAGATGGTAGCGTCTGAGGGGAGGCCTCATGTATTCCTCCCCTGCGAGAGCAGTCTTGCCAGTATAATGCACTGATGAGTTTCCTTTCTCTAATGAGTTATGTGTCATTAGCCTTCCTTCTACTCCTAGGATAGATGGGGTGTACAAAATAGCGTAAGGTGATTTAGTTTCTTTTTATGTGCATCTAAGGAGTCGTACATTCACGTGTCTAAAAGAGCACTTTTAAATTTTAAAAATGTGTTGACACAGAAAATAAATAAGAATGTGCCCTGGGGAAGAATTCAAACATCTATTCTGCTTTTGTGGTTATACCTGCACTCCATGACACCTTAGCTCACAACATCATTCTTTGTTTCACTGGGGAAAAAAAAAAATGGTGGGAACTTCTCTCCTGCCCCTTGTTTAACTCATGTGCTTTTTAAAATATACAAAACATGAGAAAATAGCTATGGTGAAATAGTTACTTTAGCTTGATTTTTGGATTAGAATTCCTGTGTTTTAAAGTCTGAGAGGGAGGACTATTGGATTGTCTTTTCTGACTCTCTGCTCTGGAGGCCTTGTACATCCTATGCAGAGCACACTTACAGTTATGGTAGGTCTTATGATACTGAACACTTACTGTAAATAAACTTCAAGAGCATGGGTTTTATTCTATTTTTTGGGGGGTGACACTGTTGCTGTTTGCCTCATTGTGCAGTGGTTTGTGCTAGGTTGCAGCTGACAGCTGCCCTGGTTGTGGCTGAGGCAGGCTGTAGTTCCCTAAGATTCTAGCCCTCTCAGTTTAGCTAGAAACAGTTTGCATCTCTTGGGGTTTCTTGAGGCAAAGCCTTGGCTCAGCTGTCTTCCTCATGCATGTACGGGAGAGACAAAGAGCATATGAAGTGATCTGCGTGCTTTGAATGGAAGCTATACTGTGTATGGCCTACAACAAGAAATGCTCTTTGGAGGCTTTTAAAGATACATGCTAGAATTATTTACATTTATGTTGGAAATAAGAAAATTGCTTGAATTAAGAGTAACTGAGAAAAGGAAAAACAGTAGTGTGGAAAAAAAATCTGAGAGCTAAGGAAAGTGGTGGGAGGAGAGCCTGTTTATGGCTAGTTTGGAGAGCTGGAAGAGGAGGCTGGGCTCAGCATTGCTGCTGCCATGCAATAGGGACTGATGTCCAACATGGCTTAAAAAATGAAATGGCAAAAAGTGTGCTGAATCCTATGGCTGCTCCTTGTGGGAGAGCTGGGTTTGGAGTCCAGATTGGGACCCATCACCGAAATTCTCAAATGATCAAGAAGGAGCACTTTATTACGCAGCGTTAAATCATTTGACAGAGATGGTTCCTGCATTCTTAGAAACGGAAGTGTCTCATGTCATCTTCTGCTCTGCTTCTGTGTAACAGCAGCTAGTGAAGCTATGTGATCTGTGCTTGCCTTCCAGTCCTATGAGCTTTTAGATAGCTTAATTATTTAAGGTATTTTCCTTCTCAAGGAAGGGAGAGCAGATGAGAGAAATTAGCTGAGATAAAGAATTAGGTCAAGTCTCTTCCCCTAGTAACCAAATGAACAACAGTGATCAAGAAATAGAAGCAAATAATTTCTGTTGCTGGTAATTTCTACCAGTAAATAATTCCTACTAGTCAAACGTGATGTCCTGGAACCCATCTGCAGAGCACTTTGATGGGATATCTTATAATAATATCATGGATAGAAACTGGACTGTAATTGCTTCATCTGTCCTCTAAGAAAATGTTGCTGTTTTCAGGAAATGCTGAACCAACATTTTCTATATACACATGTGCACACACACACTCGTGTGCTATTTTATTCATTCAATAAGAAAGTGAAATGTAAGACAGCTCACCGGGGCGTGCTGGCTTGGAAGACAGGAAAGGAGCAAGTGGAATCCGTTCTCCTGCCCAAAGGGATGTCAGAGATGATCATGGCGTTAAGTTCTGGAGTAGGATTTGAGATTTTAAACTTGGTGAATGCTTGATAAACCGTAGACTCCTCCTGGAGGGTCTGGACAAATCACTTCAGTGCCTGTCACACCTGTGACACAGGAACAGTACTTTTCTTTTTTTACTCCAGAAGCATGCTTTGAAGAGAAATTCACTAGTATAAGTATCTCTGCCCTTCCATAAACAAACGTAAACACAAATGAAGTATTTTTATTGCTGTTCTTGTTTCCAGTGTTGTTTAAGGTTTCTTCCATTGGTAAACCATGTGTATGCATCAATACATTGTTGTGTAGCAACAGCTCTGTGACTCTACTTCTCATTCAGAATACGTTGGTTTTTTTGTCACGGTGAGATGTCCCAGCTTTGAGGAGAAGTATAGCTGCAAGATACCTTAAAGGAACTTGAGTTGCCACTGCCCAGGATCTGCTTGAATTAAGAATTTCATTTTATGTGGTTTGGGTCTTTTGTATGGATTCCTCAGTGTTTGAAGGAAGTGTTTTGGGTTTCACGGTTTGAGTAGGATACTCAAACACAGACACACACACATATGTGTGTGTATATATATATATTTTTAATTCTGGAAGTCTTCTTTCATGCAAATATCTGAGATTAGATTTGACTGTTCTGTCATATTTATTTTGCTTTTGCAGTGGTAGCAAATCTGGAACTGGTTAATATGAATCAATATATTGGTGTCTGACCGTGCATGTGTCATACCCACAGAGAACTTTTAAGTGGTGTAACTCTGTTTTACTTGCTTTGACTCTGTCTTGCAGAGTTCCAAAGTGCTTGCAAAGAAGGAGCTCTCCTATATGCCTATCATTGGCTGGATGTGGTATTTCCTAGAGATAGTCTTCTGCAAGCGTAAGTGGGAGGAAGATCGGAAAACAGTCATGCAGAAGTTGCTGAATCTCCGGGACTACCCTGAAAACTTTTGGGTGAGTGATGACTAACAATGGAGTGCAAAGTGCTGTAGTGCTTGGGAGGGATGAAGGGCATAGACGATACATGATAGTTGCCATGTTCCTCTCGAGGACTTTGATTCACGAGCTTTCTCGCAGTATTAGGAGAGTATTCTCTGAGAATTGAATTCTTTCTTGTATAGTCTGTCTTGTCTGTTTTCTTCCTCTGTAGCATGGAGCCCTGCAGATGTCATTGCAAAAATACCTTCTCTGTGATCCATTCAGTAAACTTTGTGGTCCTCTACATGCAGGAGCTGGAGGGGTAGATGGAGGGGTTCATGGCGGTGTAACAGATACATATGATGATGTTGTATTGAAACACATTAGCTGTATTCTTTACCTAAGCTTCCCTCTCACCTTAGATTGCCTGGTTCATAGTAGTATTTTCTCCTCCCATTTTCCTGTGATTCTGCCATTCCTGTGAAGCTGCTAGGTCAGACATGGCCCAGTAGAAATGGAAGCCACAGATAAGTACCTGGTCAGAGAAGTGGCCCCTGGGGCCATCGGCTGTGTTACAGGGAGAGGATTGGTGTCACCTTTCAGTAACAGGAAAGTGTTACTTTTTGCATCACCATCATTTTTTACTATTGAGCCTGCCTGGCATTTCTTAGTTTTGAAATGAAAAGCCTTTGAATTTTTTCCTCTTCTCAGTAATCAGAAAAATCCTAGTTCTCATGAGCTGGTGATGGCAAGAGAGGAATTCAGTTAAGGAAATGGTACCTTAAGGAGCCTCAGTGGGGCCTACAGAAACTATTGCTTAAGAACTGGTTTCCTAGAGAAGATATACATGCTGTATCTCTCATTCTCTGAAACAAAACTTTTTTTTTTAATTGTCATTGATTTAAATGAGCGCTAAACAATCAAAACTAAGCTCTGTGCTTGAATAATGATTAAATGACTTCCAGGCAGGAGGCTGTCTTAACAAAGGGACAATTCTTCATTTCTAGTTCTAATCTCTCTCACAGGGATTTGCCCTTGCTCTGTGACTCTTCAAAGGTATACGTACACCTAGGCAGTTCAGCACTAACTGGTGAGCACAAACTGCCACCATCCTTTATATACTGTCGTAGAGGGATTACTAAAAAGGAGCTATGCCTGTAGTAGGAGAGATACAGTTGTTGATATCCAGCTTGGGGTTATTGCAGTGTGGAGTTCTAATTTGCCTTTGTATGGTGACATAATGTAAAAAGACACAACAATAGCACCTTGGAAGGTAGAAAGACAGCATTCATTCTATGTGGGCTAGAAGGATTTTCTCATCAGTTTCTGTATGTTTCATCTAGCTGTTTAACATTATGCATGTGATACATGAGTAAAAGTGCTCTTAGATCTGAAGCTGACTGCTTGGCTAGTTTTCTTCAGTCTCTGTTGGCTAAATTTTTGCTGTGGGTTATGAGGGCTTGACTTGTGCAATTTGGCGATGTTATCTGATGTGTTAGTTTGCATTCAGGCTTGGCAGAAAGCAGATGAGCAAGTGGTAAATCTGCAAAGATCTGTCTGCTCTGCCCTGCCTGCCAGTGGCAAAATTGTAATCGTTCATGTCTGAGCGCTTCCACTGTATAGTTCATAAGGGCATGAAGCTTTCAGTTGTCCTGCATCTACTGCCTTACACCTGTTACCAGCTCAGTCATTGGCATCAAAGTTACTGTCTGCAGTTGTCAGTGGTCCTCATGCCATAGTGAAAGCAAGTGGGTTGGAGTGAGGGGAAGCAAGCTGGGCACTGAAGCGTTACCTAGAAATGTGTTTGGTTTAGACACTTACCAAGTTTTCGATACCGTGACACTCGAACAGCTCACCATCAGTGAGAGATTTGTAACAGGAGGTATGTTTTGAGTGTTTTCCAACATCTCTTTAGAGATAGAGTGACTCATTTAGAGAAAACAAGTAATTCTGATAGCAAGTAGCAGAGCGGATGTTAAAGCCTAAAGGCTAAGAGTTAAAACCTGAGCATGGCAAGTTGGGTGGCTGGGGGCAATTGAGAGGGCTTGGCTTTTTTTTTTAGCTTCGTGACAATTAAATTACCTAAATGTGTATGTGGCTACACCTGTCCCTGCTAGCAGTGTTCATTTGGGCTGTGTTGGTGGGAATTAGAGAGGCCTCTGGTCAGACAGATGTTGAAGACCTGAGCTGCTGTCTAACTATAGTTCTCTCCTGGTTTTAGTTCCTGATTCATTGCGAGGGCACAAGGTTCACAGAACAGAAGCACCAGATTAGCATGCAGGTAGCCGAAGCCAAAGGCCTGCCCAAGCTCAAGTATCACCTACTGCCACGAACGAAAGGATTTGCTGTCACTGTGCAGTGTTTGAGAAATGTAGGTAAGGAAAGTCACAAAGATCAATGTTAAATGGTTATTTCATCTAAGTACTGTCACTTTGCCATGCACTTCTTTTCCCTGTAGCATGTCTCCTAGCAGAAAAGTCCTGGGATTCTTTCTGACTTTTTTTTCCACTAGCCTGTGAAAATTAAAGATTAGGTTTTACTAACAAAGTCCTGGGGCAACTTGGGTTTTTTGTTTGTTTGGGGGTTTTTTTTGTTGGTTTTTTTTTTGTTTGTTTGTTTTGACTTCTGTTACCGTGAGTCTGCATCAGGGGATCTCAAGTTGCATGTTTCATACCTATTGGCAAAGGATAATTCTTAGTATTTACTAAGCAATCCTATTCTAAATGAAGGAGACACATCACTAGTGAATCTGAGGCAGCGTGTCTTAAATTTTTTCTTGTTGTAAATATCTGCCTCAAATCATAGAATCATAGAATGGTTTGGGTTGGAAGGGACCTTAAAGATCATCTAGTTCCAACCCCCCCTGCTGTGGGTTGGGAAAATAATACCATTTAAAGCAGAATATTTTTTGATTTAAAAATTTCTGTATAGATGTACTTTTAGAATTTCTTTGTGGAGCTGGGGGAGTGGACTGTCACTGAAGATACATGTAGGTGAAACTTACAAATTATTTCTACATTGTAGAGGACTAGTAAGTTTTTCTTTGTTAATGCTGTTCTGAACTCCACCCCACCCCCCGTTATTTCACGTTATTTGCATTTGCCAACTTTTAAAGTGACATCAGTAAGAATATGGCATACATGCCTTTGAAGTAATTTTCTTTGCCTAATACAACCCATCAAGGTTTTCTGCTGTGTACTTCGTGGGCAAAGGAAGACAGCACTAAGTAGCTATAGTGCTACAGTATCTTTGTGGACGGGTAGATTGTGTTCTGTTAGAAGGCTGATATGTAAAAAAGACAAAGCAGTTAGCGGTGTAGAAGAAAATGTTCTAGCTTGACTGAAGTTAATGTCAAAACTTCTTCTGTCTTTGAAGACATGTTTTCATGTGGCATATCTGGGATAGCTGCTGTAAAAAAAGCTTTGCAGTCAGCTGTCTTGTTATCTGTCATGTTTCTTCTACATATCCTCTTGCAAGTCAGGTAGATGATATCACTGTTGTAGCTTGTCAGGCATCCACAACGTCCCACTCCCAAAATGGATAGCATAGCTTGGCTCTTTTCTCCTATGTGAAGAAGAGTTACGTGCTGCATCCAGCAACTCCCTTAACTTTCCTTCTGTTTTGAATAAGGGCGACTGTTTTGCTGAGGGTGGGGGAAGGTAGACTGGAGGCATTGAAGAGCTGAATCAAAACTGTGACCTCCAGTGCCGTGAGCTGGGAATCAGGGACAGGTTATTTTGGTGGTGATTTTGTTTTTCACTACTCTGTATAGTAGATTTGTGGGAAGTACACAAAGATTTGTGGGAATCAGACAAGTAGCTGATTTGTGGGAAAATGTTTCAAAAGGAAACAATTTTAGGGAACCCAAGTGGCATTTATAAAATGTTTGGGCATTCATGTGATACACTACAGTAACACTTCTTAGTATCCTAGGTATTTGATATATCTTCAGAAAAAAGAAGACTGAGATTGCTAGATTACTTACATACTTAGGGAAGTGTATGTTGCTAGCTCAATCCAGAATCTGTGACTTGTTAGATCAAACAGGGTAAGGCTAATAAGAAGGTAATATTTCCCTGTGGGGGTTCAAGGAGAAGCACACAGAGTTATAACTCCTCAAAGATAGTTTTTGTTGAAACTGTATACCTTAAAAACCCAACCAACAAACCCCAGAAGGAAATGGCTCGTGACACTAGATTGGTGTTGGAATTTCTTCTGGGTATGTTGCTTTACTTGCCTTGCTGCTTTTTGCAACGGGAGGGAGATAATAAGAGTTATCGTCTGGGTCACTGTATGTTTCTCTCCTATAGAGACAAGGGGTACATGTGAAGAGCATTTGAAAGGCCTTTGTAAACAATATTTTAATCTTTAGAGCTGCTTGTAACATTAATATGTACAGGTAACAAGGAAGTCCATAAATGTTTTTTGAATAGAGAACATGACAGAATTCTGTTTTGACAGTCCATAATCTAGAAATGTAGATTTTATCCAGAAATTATTCCTTTCTTGCATGAATACTGATAGGATTTGACCACTTACCTTTGTTAACCTGCACTGACATTTGGTGCCCCCGTTATAAGCAGTAACATGTTATTGTAGGTGTCAATAGATGTGGAGGTTATATGCTGTAGTAATCTGGGCTTTTTTTTTCTTTTGAATATTTACATTGGTAAACAGTACTATTTGACTTGTTCACTGTAAATCCCCCAAGTCTCGCTGTTAAGCCCTGCCTTATAATGTGGCCCAGCGAGTGACTGTATCCCTCTATTACAGCCTCAGATTACTTGTTCCAAACAGCATCAGTGTGACTGCCGAATTGCTGCTCTGTCTGCAGAAGGAGCAATGGCAACATGCAGATGTTCATAACTTCAGTTCAGTGACATCTCTAATGATCTACAAGAATGACTCTTGCAGGCTGACCTGTCTCTCTTGCAGTGCGATTCACATCCATTTCAGTGGCCAAGTCTGCAGTAGGGTATCCCTGCATGTCTCTGAAAGTGAGAGACTGGTGCTGAGCTGCCTGAGCCCATTTTGGGGCCTACCACTTAGGCTAACGCACTTTGTGCTCCTCCACAACGGGTGGTGGGCCTGGCTGGAGTGCCTCGCTAAGGAGATAGCTGCAGGATGACATAGCAGTGAAGGCAAGCCAATGTTTGGATCCAGTTCCAAGCTGGGTATGACAGAGGCCAGTGTTTCCTTTTCCTCTATTCTTTGTTCCTCCTTTCTGACAAGGCTGTGATTCAACCTGAGACTGTTGTACTATAGGATGGATGGATGCTGGTTTCTGTGGCTCTAGAGGTAATTCACCCACACTACCAGTGGTCACAGGTTGGTCCTTTTTGAAATTGTATCAATGCTACCTGGTGCAGTAGTTGTCTGTTGGAAATGGGCGTTGGTGACATCAGTCTGGCAAGTCCATCTCTTTTGAAAATCTTAGCTTCAGAAGGAGTTTATTTAATGTGCATACATGGGAAACTGCCTCCATACCAGTGGTGCCATGTCTGTCAGCATAAGCAGATATATTTGGATAAAAATGTCTTTCACGCAAAATAACAAGTAAAGAACCTTCCCTCCTAACTAATTTATTTTGTAAGTAACAATGGAATTCTTTTCAGAGACTTACTTTCACAAATTCAGATTGCTGCACACAGTTTGATTCTTGAAGGAGTGCTTTTAATATTTTTTCAAATTTGTTCTGCTATTTTTATCGGTGGTCAACTCTACCAGTTTGGTAGTACAGACGCAGTCCTTAGGAACTTCATTTCTAGAAGCTGTTTGCTGTATTAATAACTTACTGTTAGGTTGCAGAGTTTGCTACCTGTACTGTTCATGGAAGCAAATGAAAATGCAGATGTTTCTAAAACACTCATCCATTACTTACAGTAAAAATAAATGTCATAAATATTGCAAAAGATATATTTAACTGTTACTTTTATTACCTGGCTGTATATCAGGCAGTTTCTTTCAGCTGTTTTTTAGTTAAGACTTGTATTTAAAAATGTGCCTCATGATGGATTGTAGATAACTCCAAGCTGTGAACCGCTTCCTCCAATTGTGTGTGCTGGGAACTACTGTCCATTTTTGACCCAGATGACCAGATGTTAAATGAAAGGATTGTGTCGAGGTGGCTGTCGTATCAGCTGTACAGTGAATCCCACCATCTCTTCTGCTCCCTTTCCCAGTGTTCAGATCATTGTGTGCTAGTATGAAGCTGTATGTAGGCATACTCATTGCCTGTAGGTTTACTTGTCAGGTGATCATTCTGGCATAATCCACCATGCCCACAAAATGCTGCATGAAATTCAAGAGGACAGTTGAAGTAAGAAAAATCCTCTCTAAATATGTAATCTGAAGATTTCTTAGGTCAAAATTAAGAAATTAAATCTTAATTTCTTAAGTACATAGGTCTCTGTCAGAATGGTGTATGAGGAACCAAAAGTTAAAGATATAAAAAAAGCTGGGTAGAGGTTAGAAAGCAAACAGAAGAACTAGCCTTTTTTTTTTGTCAGGAAATAGCAATTCAGCTGGGAAAAAATTGTTTTCAGTTATGGACTGTTCTGAGCCTTTGAAAAGGCTTCCAAATATTGAATTGTGTTTGGTTTTTTAATGAAAAAGATGTTTTAAGATAATTTATTTGAGAAAATATTTTATTTCATAATTTAAGCAAAACTCAACCGCTGCCTAAATTAGTCTGAGAGTGAGACAGTTGCAATGTTTTTTGTGGAGTTGGTTATTTTACTTGCTTTAGAACATGAAATTTCTGGACTCTTCAGCTTTTGGATGAGAAAGTCATGAGATGTCCAGTTCTAATTATATAATTACGAAATACACATTTAATGAAAAACAATTCCAGTGTGTCACGCCCACTGTGTAGTGCTGCTTTGGCTGTGGAAGCTTTGTGGCAAATTTCAATTCCATGCAGTCTTTTGCTTTGACATCTCTACTGTTGTTCTTTACCTGCACTTTGAAAATGGAAAAGCTTAAGTCTTCAGTTATTTTATATCTGATTATAACAGAATTCTGTTTACTCTTGCACATGCTGTCATTGTCTTGGATTTGACATTGATTTGCACCAAAAGATTTCAGTGTGATATTAAAAAGGACTGAATTGAATATCAAACTACAGACCAGTTATGAACTGGAATGGGATGTTTTTTCCCTGGAATCACAGAGAAGTCTGAGTATGACCATCAGCATATAAAGATGTTCCTGACCAACTCTGCAGAAGATTTTTCAGAACAGGAGAAGCACCTTCCAATGTGTCTGAACAAGCATCCAATTCATATCAAAACTAAAATGTAGACATCTTCTAAAAGATGAAAGAACAAATACTATGTATATCATATTTTCCTTTATTGTCTCTCTGTGGTCATTAGAATAATCTCATGCTATTAAAGAATAAACTAAGAAGCTTACCCCATATAAACCAAATTGAGCTCTTGTCTTCCTTCAATTACATTGGATTAGTAAATTAGAATAGATTAGTAAAATCCTTCTACACTAAGAAGCTTAAAAATGGCGGTAGATAATTTATTCAAAAAAAGTAATTTCCTGCTTGTTTTGTAGAGGGAGAGTAGTGTGCTTGAAGTAGATTTTGTCTTATGTGATGTAGTTTTGAGTTTGGGCTAAAACCCCAACTGTAGTAGGAAAAGAATAGAGTTGTTAATAACCCATACAGTCTGTATGCAGTGACAGGATTTTGGCCTCTGTTTTCAGGATTTCCTTGTAGCGCTGAAGCCAGGCTGTTCTGTTCTGCACTATGGATTGTGTTTACCAATAACAAACGTTGTGGTGAGTTCCTAGGGACTGAATGTTGTGACCAAGCCATATTTATTTCTCATAGCTAGAGAGGCTTCAAAACTAAAAGCGAATCTGTTCTATGTAATAAAAGGATTTCTTAGATGGGTCAAGAGCTCTCACAGTAAAGGTTCATCTCAGTGTTCATTATTGCAAAACTCTAGAGGAGAAAAGCTAAAATACAGCCAGCTACACGTGAAGTGTGTGTTAGTCACTTTTGTGTCAAAAAAAAAGTTTTGTTGCTAGCATTGATCTTAGAATTGGTACCACGATGCACAATTGGTTTCAATGTCGGGAAAACTAATTGCTCTCTGGTAATTTTGTGACATCAGGAAAATAGTGTCTCTGAGGATATGTTCAAAGAAACCCTTTTGAAACACTTTATGTGGTTTAAAACAACAAACGCTTTTTCTTTAGAAACTGCTTGTTAATTCTTAGTTTAACTACAAATGACCTTCGCAAATACTTCTCCTGTTACTGTGCAGTCCTGAACAACAGAAACACTGTTTTCTTGAGGCTGAAAGTTTGGTTGTGGTTCCTCCCAGCCGCAGGTCTTCATAGCAGCAGCCCAGCTCACACAGGACGTGGTCTGTTAGTCTGTCTCTGCCTTTGCCGTATAGCAAGTGCCTCAGTTATCAAATAATGGACACGAAAGGGAGGTTGTTTTGAACCCCAACAATTCATAGTTGCATTAAGCCCTCTTGCTAAACACACACTTCACCATTGTTAGTCAAACTGTATATATTGTTCATTGTTTATAAAGTGTGTATCTGCCTGCGTATTTACCCAGATTTGGGGGGGGGAGTTGTGTCATTCACAGTGAGTTGAGAGAGCTAGTAGTTTTTCAGCCATTTGACTCCTAGGATGTCGTAGGTATATTAACTGTCAGAAACTGTATCTGTGTTGCCTATGCCAAACATTCTGCACCTGATGGAGACAAGGGTGGAGAGCAAACTCCTTCATTCTGCTGGTGCAGTTCCTGAAAGGGTTGCTGGTTATTTGGCTTCTTAAAACTTGCGTGTTGAATATTCCATTGTCATCTTTACCTTGGTGACAGCTCAAACTGTGGTCTATTGCTGATGACTTCATATTTAGATATGCTCCTTGTGTGAGAGAGAATGACTTCTTTCCATTCTATTACTACTGTAATCACATAACCTGTTTCGCTTCTTGTAGTTTCTGCAGTCTATGATTCTACCCTCAATTTTAGAAATAATGAGAATCCAACATTGCTGGGAGTTCTAAATGGAAAGAAATACCATGCAGATTTGTATGTAAGGCAAGTAATCCATATTTTAATTTCTTTTTGGCATACAGAAGTGTGTACTTGCAGTCACAATTGCACAAGTAAGGAAGTATTTTGCAGTAGTTAACAGACAGCAAATCTTCACAGAACTGCAGATAAAAACTCCTATGAGATGGGAAGGGTTTCTTGCAAAGTTCTGTGACTATAAGTGTGTGGGGACTCTGTGAAGCTCTACAGGTTTTTCTGTTTGTTATTTTTTTGTTCAGTTGTATGTCTGTTTGTCAGCTCAGCAGCAACACTCAGCAGCAACAGTGGGGCCTCTTTTCACTCACTTGACCAGAATACCAAGTATCTACTACGCGTTCAGATGGGGCGGCTTTACACCTGTCTCTGGCACAATAGTTCCGACTCAGGTGGAGGCCAGCCTCAGAACTGTTTCCATCTCTTGTTTGATGTAGTTGTTGATGTATTTGACTGCTGCTCCCTCCCTACTAAGAAGAGGGTTGTTTAATGAAAAAAACAATTACCTGTATTCTGTATCATTAACATTTCTGTAAGTGATGAATACCCCGATGGTGCCCCATAAGGCCCTTATTCCCAGGCCAGGTTCTACCAGCAGCACCCATACTGCAAGCACTCAGGGTATGTGATGGTTTAGGGTTGGAGCATAGGAGCCTAGAAGTGATCCCACAAGTGATCAGGAGTTCATCATAACCCCATTATAGTTATATTTGGCTGATTCAATTGCTTTATCTTGGGTACTGACATGGAGTAGGGTAACCTTTTCTTCTTACCTCCCCTTTTCTGCCTGTTTGAAAAAAATATTTTCTTCCGAACTATTTTTGCCAAGTGTAAAAAGAAACATTCTCTTGATTCCTCATGGATGCAATGTGAGTTTGCATTCCCACTTGGCTATCATGGGTAGCTCAGCTTAGTGGACTTTGGTGTACATGGCCTGGCTGGCTAGTGGTCATGGGGGAGCAGCTGGCCCTACCTTTGTGGGCCATGCCTCCAACAGCGTAGCGGTGTGCATCTCGCTGTGTCTCCCTTTACACCTTTCCAGTGTAAGTCAATCTGGCAGAGCATGGAAACTGCTTTTCATGACTCAGGCTAGCTATTTGCCCTTCTGTCCTTTGAGCTTCCTGAAAAGCTCTTACAGGTAGGGTAGATCTCATGGCAAAACTTGTTTGGGCAATTAATTGGGGACCATCACAATTCTTCTTCAAAATCCTCCATATTTGCTTATTGAAGTGCTGTAGGTGTTACATTTAGTAAAAGTTTTACAAATTTGGATGGCCTTGTTTGTCTCTGCTTAAATTATGTTGACTTCTAATGTTTGTCACCTTACGACTTTCTCAAATAAAGGAACAAAACAGTAGTGTTGCACCTCTGAATTTATTAATTGCAAACGGGAGTGTCCTGACTGAAAAGTGCTCTCTCCTGTGATGAAGGAAGTTAATTTGCTCTTGCTCTTAATGGGTATTAATTGAAATATATGCTATATTGAAATATGTAAAATTATTAAATATTGCGATTAGCATACCTAAATGAAGATGACAAGGGGAATTTTTTTTCCTGTCACAGGATTACTGATCAAAATTCATGTAATGTGATGAAAAAACTTTGTTTTGTCAAGAGAGGGTTTTTCAGTGATGGGAGCCATTGAAAATCTTACCTGAGAAATACTAGAGTGCTTTACCCTACGCAAAAGGAGAATAGTTTTTTTTTTCTCTCTAATGCCTAGTTAATTAAATATAGCCTTGAACTCCATAGGTGGGGTAAGAAATTAATTTGTTCAAAACCTTTGTTTGAAAACAGAAAGTTGCAAACTTTTATCTAGAAAGTGGCTCTAATGAACTAAACCATAATGCATTACTATTTCAGAAATCTAAATTTCTGAATTTCAGATACATCACAAAACTGAAGGGTGGCTCTAGAAGCAAACTATACTTTGCTGATCTGGGAGCTGTTTACCACAAATTAAAAAAAAGGTAGAAAATGTAGTGAGTCTCCTGTCAGATGGATAATCTGTTTGTATAATGTAAGTGCTGTTCATGGGGGCCAAAGTAGTTAATATTCTTCAATTTCTCTTGTTTACCATTGGCAGGCGGATTCCACTAGAGGAAGTCCCAGAAGATGAACAGGAATGTTCTAACTGGCTCCACAAACTGTATCAAGAAAAGGTTGGTTTTCTGTCTAGCACAGGGGACTTGGGATTGGTTGGTTTATTTTTTCAGGGTAAGTGCTCTGTTTCTTCAGACACAAACTGGTCTTGTGCTGTCAGTCATGATTGCCTTTATTTTGTACTTAAAGAACAAGAAGAAGAAAACTTAAGCCTTGACAGAGTAATTTTAAAACTCTTGTTTAGAGAGTTGCATATGGATACAAAAACCACAACTACCTCCTAGGTGGTAGAAGGACCTCCTTCCTGTTAATGGTACTTCCACACCTGATCAAGAAGTAATTTGTGGGCTAAATGAGGTATGTTTTACTTTAGTGTATTAAAATCTTTGTCCCTTGTTTTAGCCTGTCTTTTTTACCAAGGCAAAGATCCAACATTAATAGGACAGGCTGATAAATTGCTTTCATGTTGTGTGCATAAATTATGTAGGATGGGGTCAGAATAATTATGACTGTGTTTTTAGATGCCCACTGATTTTTATTTTTTTCCCCTCAAATACTTTAATACGCACCCTTCAGACTTTCAGAATCTGTTTCTTGTGGGTTTTGGTTTTATGAACATAGGTTGGGGGATGCACTCTTTGAATACACGCAGCACTCCCATTTCAATTGGTGGGAGTCGTAGGTATGCAAGGCATGAGGGCCTGGCAGCTCAGTTTGCTTCAATAAATTGATCTAAGTTATATATTCAGACTGGAATACAGTAGCGCTTTGGATCTAGAAGTGATAGAATATAGCTACGCTCTGCTTTCCTCTCAGTGGGGCAGCAAAATACTGCTGTGCCGTTTGTAGTCTGCCCAGAACACCGCGTTAGCATTTCTGCAGTGACTATGTTCTAGTCTTTCTCTGCTTCAAACCATGACTGTTTCTGGTTTAATTCATGAGCAGCTTGCTTACAGGAATGTGAAAAGTAAATGTGCGTTGAGACCTCAGTTGTAGATCTGTTAGCTTTGCCTCTGATCTCCCTTCTTGTAAATTGTGTCACTAACACCTAATTCAGATGTGACCCCCTTTTCTGCAGAAAGGCGTTATGTTACCCATGGGCCCGTGCTGTCTCTACATGCATATAAATGCAAACGGTCCTTTTGCTGAACATTACAACAGTCCATTTTCTACTATTGTGACTTTATCTGTAACCCTGTTTCATGTTCCTAAGAAATCCTTAGACATTTGCGAGACAGGAACATAAATTAAATGAGGATGCGGTGATTGTTTTCCTAAATCCTTTATTACATAGTTTGCAGTAAATCACTTCAAGTTTTTTCTGTTATTCCCTCTTTGGCAAATGCTCAGTTATTTGTAGTACAAACAGAGCATACACCTATCCTACTTTCTTCATAACAACTTAGTTTGCTGGTTGGTTAAATCCACAATTTCCTATTTAAGTATAGGAGGAAGGAATGTGTGTTCAGTTTTCCTTTCCATTAAAACCCTTTTGGTTGTGTGGCTTGCTTTTTTATTAGTTTATTTTTTTTAGGTTTGGTAGTATTGCGGTTTGGTTTTGGTTTGGGGTTTTTTTTTTTCTGAAGGTGGCATGTTCCTCTTCCATCAGCTATTTTACATTACTGAAACTTACTTCATTGCAGTCATTCCTGGTTTATACAGGCCTATGTCTCTGTATAATCAGACTGGGAGAATACAGAGCGGGGACAACTTCTTCAAGAGTTCTGAGATGATGAAAGCCCACCCGTAGGGTAACAATGCAATTCTGTTTCACCTTTCTGCCACGCATCTTGAAAAAAATAACTGGATCTTAGGTTGGATAACAAGCAGCATTGCCACGTAGGTGTTGTTTCCAAAAATAATTCTATTTCAGGTTAATGTCTTCAGAGTCAGTAAATATTTATGATAAAATGTAACAAATCTCTGTTCAAAGGGCAGTAATTCACTGCAAGATATGCGCTCATCCCCTGCTTTGTCTATTTTGGTTGTAGCACTCCACTTTCTGTTCCAAAGTAAGACAAGGTATGCACGCTACTGAAAAACAGAGCCCCCTATTTCATCTTGCATTATGATTGCATGTGCCATTGCTTATTCTCAGTGATTTTCATAATTTTGCAGTACCTTCTCAAGACTTACATACTGTGCGCTGAATTATGTTCTAATAGCATGATTTAGTAGGTGAGGTGTGCCATAAGTAGAGGTCAAGGCTGGAGTGCCATGCACTTGTGATGATCAGGAGCACAAAGCTGTTTAAATGAGTAATGAAAACAGCAGTTAGTGGACATGAAGGAACGTGACTTTTTTCTTTCTTTCTTTCTTTTTTTTCTTTTTTCTTGTCATTAGTAAAGGAGTGAGAGTCTTTGGGAAAAGCTTGTTCCATTGTTTTTTACCTCATTGCCTGATCTCAGTTACATGTACCTCAGTCTGAGACAGTGCTCTCTGGGAATCTGGTGTTTATGTTCTTGCTACTTACCACTTCATTTTCTGGTTTAGATGACTTTTTTTTTTCTTTCTTTCTTTTTTTTCTTTTTTCTTGTCATTAGTAAAGGAGTGAGAGTCTTTGGGAAAAGCTTGTTCCATTGTTTTTTACCTCATTGCCTGATCTCAGTTACATGTACCTCAGTCTGAGACAGTGCTCTCTGGGAATCTGGTGTTTATGTTCTTGCTACTTACCACTTCATTTTCTGGTTTAGCCAGTGGTGCAAATGCAATGAACAGGGCCTTGCCAGATAAACAGTGGCACTGTGCTGTTCTAAACCAAACACTGTTCTCTGTCCTTTTCCAGGTTTACAGTAAGCACCATGTCCATGTGCTGCTTCCTCATCTGGGGTGAATTTTGTCCTTCCACAGATGGCCAATGCTGTACCAGTATTACAGAAGTGCAGTTTGGTTTGCACATTGCCTTTTCCCTTTCTTCCCCCTCTTCCCTCCCTCCTCTCTCTTCCCTTTTCCTGCCATTGCTAGAAAGACTTCCTTTGACTTTAACAAGGATCAGGTTGAGCATCTTAGTGCCTGGTCTGAAGAGGTGCTGTATAATAGTCACAACCTTGCTAGCCCTTGCATGTTTGTTTTCTTTTTTTCACCTCCTTCCTGCCTCAGTGCCTGAAATAGAAGCTCTGCTTGAGAATCTTAATTTCAATTAAAAAGAAAGCAAGCTTCTAACTCTTCTCACTTGTAAGGAAACCATGGAAAACAGGGCATGAAAATATATGCTGAAATGCCCCAGGGAATTAGCCAAGCATAACTGAAGAGGGGAAGTGTACAGAATGGCAGGGTTTGGGAACAAAGGATGTATTTTTGGATACTCATTCTTTGTGGGCTTCCTCATGAAAGAGCAGTGGCATACCTCTGTAGTCAGACTTCCCTGGTGGGAGCAGGGAGGAAGAATCTGGTTAGCCTCTCACAAGATGATGGATGTTCCCTGACTTCCCCCCACCGCATTACCTACCCCACTGTCTGAAGTAACACAGATTTGGTGGGGGCATCAGAGGGAGCATGTTTCTATGTCCAAATATGATACTTGGGTGGGTGGGATTGATTACAAACTGAAAACAAGCTCTGTATGCAGAGGAATGAAAGGAACTTAATGTGTCTGAGGGAATTGAGGGAAATTTTGAGGTACATCATGGGTTTAAATGCTCACTTGAGCTGTTGATGGCTACCAGAGGCACCCTTGCAAAAGCTTAGAAGATAGATCAACCCACAGATTTTTAAGGGTAAGGAATCATAACTGAAGAGCTGTTCCCCACAACGGCGTAAAACATGTAGTGGAGGTGATGGCATTGACATTGTTTTGCCTGTTCTATATTTCTTCCATCTGTCTCAAACCTCTTGGTGAGATGTGGTCAGTGGTTTTGCAGCCCCTAATGCTGTGCAGAGCCAACAAAGAGAAAACTGCTGTGCTTGTTTTAAGTGAGTCTGTCTTGCTGTCTGTAGTAATAGGCCCCCTAATGGCGATACCAAGAATAGTCAGAAATTCTTAACTTTTCTGGGTAATGCTAGTATTTAAAAACCTAGTTGTACAGAGTAGAATTCAATTTGCTGATGATTAGTAGCTCTATGTTAAACCAGTCATAAACCAAAATCCTCAAGGCACTGTAAAGAAAACTTCATACACTGTGTAATTTGTTGAAGACAGCTAATTAATTGGCCATTGTGATCCCAGTACAATTTAGCTCACATGCGCAAAACAGTCATAATTTTTCTAATCTCAATAAAGAGAGTGCAATGCTTTAATTACTGTGTAATCTCTTAAAAGCTAAATGTTCCCTTTGAAACAGATAAAATGGTAGCAGCCTGTAATTGCTTAAGTTGCCATTAAATAATTAAAGAATTGTCTGTGTCAGCTGGAATGTAAGTAAATGTAAAATCACACCATAGTAGAAATAATCTTCTTGGGGTTGATTAGGACAATCTTGGCTTTGCCAGAGTTTTTGGAAACCATCATGAAGCATGCCTTTCTTTGAAAAAAAAAATTAGCGCTTCATTCTGACTAATTTGAGGTTCCTTTTTGTGTGAGTCTAATTCTGACTTCATTAATTAAGCAGCTTTATGTGATAACACAGATTAATAATTTTTGCTTTCGAACCAGAATGAAGGGTTTGTTTTTTTTCCCCACCCACTTTGGTACCTTGGGTTGATCCCATTGCTAAAGGCAATGCCTTTCACCTGTATGGGCTCTAGAGGAAGGTACTGAATTCAAAGTTTTCTGTACTTTAAAAACACAACACAAACAAAAAAACCCCCAAACCTCACCTTATTATCTTCCTCATATTGTAGTAAAAGGGAGAGTTCTTTGGTCAAAACCAGTGAGAGATTCTGAACTGTGTGCATGCTCAACTGTTTGTAGAGAGGTTCAGCATCCACACTTCCTTCTTCTAAGCTTCATGGGAACAAGATGAACAAGATTGCATCAATGAGACAAAGCAGACAGGAGGGGGTGATGTTCTCTGGAGTATGGGACAAGATGGTGTCTGCTCACCTTTTCTGACACTGCTGCGAATGCTGTTTGAGAGCAGTGGTTGGAGAAAATATTAGGGAACAGAGGATCTGCTGCTGAACATGTAGCCCAAACACTTCTCTGGCTTACAGGCACTATCTGTCCAGTGGCTGTGGCCCTTGCTGGAAGTTCAACAGTGATGTCTACATTGCTGCAGGAGTGTACATCCCCTCACCCTTCTTATTTTACTGGGCTTGTTATACTCTCTAGGTATGCCATTTTTCAAGCTTCTATGCATAGGAGAAAGAAAGGATGCACACATCAATGTAAACTTTTTTTTGGCTGTGTGTTCACTGACTTCAAAGTACAAGCTTTCCAGTCATCACTTGGACTTTGATCTTCTCCCACGGTTAGAGGCGTGCAGAAAGAGGAACCTCAAAATTAGGAATGGCTAGTGTTGTTGGCAGATGTGGATTTAATTGTTGCCCTCCTTTGTTCTACTAGGATGCATTCCAGGAAGAGTACTACCGAACAGGAACCTACCCAGCAGTCCCTATAGTACCACCCCGACGACCATGGACGCTTTTGAACTGGCTTTTCTGGGCCTTATTGCTGCTATATCCTTTATTCAAGCTGCTCATCAACATGATCAACAGTGGATCATCACTGACACTGGCTAGTTTTGCATTTGTCATTGTAATGGGTAAGTTTTCTAAAACAGAAAGATTACTTACAGGGTAACTGTCAGACATGATTTATTGAGGCTTACTAAATATTAAAATGACTTGTGAATTCAACAGACCATCTGATACTATATCCACTTTAGCCTGGAATAGGTTAAATAGATTTTTTTGTTTGTTTGTCTTTCTGTAGTTGTATTATTTTTTGTAAGAGCTGCATACAAAATCTTCTGTTTCTGTAGAAGTCAAAACAGTAACTTTCCAGTGGGTTGCCTGCAAGAGGCTTTCTTTGCTTGCGTGGTGTGTTGCTGGGTTGCGTTTTGAATGCCTAGAAGAGGTGCTCAAGGCTAATCTATTCTGTTGAGAATTCTTTCATCTAATCATAGTCTGATATGTCAACCACTGGAAATCCATGAACTTGTGATTTAAGGACAGCCTGTTGTAGCCATCTATTCTGACTTACATAGCACAGGGCGTAGTCTATCGCAGGTGATTCCTACAGTTCCTGTGGTAGTTCTAAACTGCCTTGGTTTGTGTTTAAACTAGTTATGTTATTTAAGAGGAGGAACGAAAACAAAATAAGGAGTTGGCCCACAGAAAGGGAGGCAGATCTCATTTTGCTGTCCTTCATAGAAGCAGGAACCAGGTCAGTTAGGCAAATAGCATCACATCTGGATGTTTGTGCTTTATGGCATATTGAGTGCCTGTTTGAAGAAGAAGTTCCCTTCCAGAATAAGCCATACGTTCATAAAGCAAGTATTTTCTACGACTGCACTGACCATCACTTGAATTTATGGCTTCATCACCTTAACACCTGTGTATATTACAAACATCCTTTGAAAAAGAAACAGAAGTTCACAGTCTTTCTGGCTTTGAATGAACTTGGATGCAAAGATATTAGAGTTAGCTTCAAGAGCCGTGTCCAAAATAACAAAATGGAGGAAATAAGAAAACACGGAGCATATTCTTGACTCAGAAGTGCATCTTTGCTCTCTACCTAGGAGATTGTTCCTAACACATAATATTTCTTTGCATTCTCAAAAAGCCTGAATCTTGAGCAGATCCCATGCTAGTCTGATCAATATGAATTAACTATAACTGCCTTTTGCCCATCTGCGAAGAGCTTGATGTGGTAGGCACACAATATTATTTCTCAGAAAGTGCCCACCAAATCAAACTCTGCTTAAGCTACTGTGGAAGCTTCTTAGAAAGATAATTGGAAAAGGAATAATTTGTGTGGAATAATCTGTGCACATGCGTAAGATACTTGTTTTGTGATGCTTTGGGCCAATGGAAGGAAAACAAGCAAGGATCAGGTCCAACATATGCCCTTGGTATGTTGGACCAACTACCAAGGGCAAGGTAGAGGGAAAGGGAGGGGAATCCTGTGCTCTTTTCCCCACCTGGAGAAATTGTTGGTGCTTTTTACCATAGGAATGTTTTATGTAAAATGTGTAAGAATTTCTTGGAGCAGTTACTACAACTTAGAAGTACCTTTTTTCACCCGCCTTACTTGTTGGAAGGCATAGTGCTCTCTTCCCCCCCTCTCCCCTTCTCTGACCAGCGAATAGCGTGGGAGCAAAGAGTGAGCACCATGGTTGGGGTGTGCTCCTCAGGAATGGGAGGTATTGGGTTGAAATCCCCTTCAGTTGCAGAGAAAGGTCAGTCGGTCTCCCCTGTGCTCTAGTTCAAAATGGGTATACAACAGTGGGCAGGATGAGCTTTGACACCATTGCAAATGCTGCATCCCTGGCAAGAGCAGCTCAAGAGGGCATTTGTTCTGCCTTTGGAAGAAATGCTGGCGTAGTCTATGTTTGGTACTGGGCTGTGGAATGACAACCTAATGGGGTACTGAAGCTTAGCTGTTGCAAAAATTTTTGATGTCTTATCTTTCCTTCAGGATTTTCCTCTTAATTCAGCTTCTCCACTCAGTGGGCTGGTTGTTCAGGTGCCATTCCAAAGTGCCTCATGCATTGTGTACCCTCCACTGGGAGCCTTTCTGCATAATTCAGGGTTCTGGATTTTAACCTCAGGTCTGGATCCTTTAATGCTTGGCATTGTGGCACCTGTGATGTTTCAGGATTTAGGCTTATTAATTTAGTTGAGTCATACCACATCCCCCACCGTGCACTGTTAAGTGCAATACCATCTTGCTGTTAGTGGCCTTTGTGACTAGGTCATGTCTTCTGTCAGGAAGGGAGGGAAAGAACCTGTAAAGAAAAAAAGCTATGATGCTACTAAGAATGGACAGCAAGAGTCTTTTTTTTTCTTTTTTCTTTCTTTTTTTTTCTCTTGCTGTCTTACTCCCCACTTAGCTTTCTTCTGCCTCTAGCCACAAGGAAAGATTAATAAGCAGGCTGCTGTGAGCCCTCTTCTGAATGCAGTGATAATCCAAAGGTTCTCAGCTTATTTGTAACACTGGAGCTAACAGAAAGCTACAGCAGCAGTCTGCTGCCAGAATGAACGCGTGAGCTCCCAGGCTGCAAAAGCACAGCTGAGGAACGCATTAAGAGTGGTGAGATTTATGGCCCACTGTGATGTGCATTGCTGCCCCATATGTATCTGCCACATTTGTGGGATACTGCAGGTTGCAGTCCTCTGCAACCTTTGAAAGACCCCTGTGCTTAGCAACAGCTAACACTCTGAATACCTGGTCTGATCAAACCCAAATTGGTCAGGATTTGCAGTGCAGCGGAAGACACTGCATTATTGCCTGTGGTAGCGGCTGTCGCCTGATTAGACTCAGCCAGTGGTACCTGGCTGATGAGCAGGCAAAAAGAAAGATGACGTTGTCACTTAGTAGCAGATAGCAGCCTCCATGAAGCTGTGGAGCAAAGAGAATCTGTGGGAGTGGAAGGAAGCTCAGCCTTCAGTAAAAACAAAAACCAGAGCTGGCTTATCCTGGTCACTTAAAAGTGGATGTGCCATTACTCACCCAAAGAGTAATGGTACCCTTAGTATGTTATAGTCTGTTTCTGTTTTACTATGCCTCTTTAAAAGCAATGTTATTGCTAGTTGGGAATCATTGGTCTCTTTCTGTGGAAGCATCTAAAAACTTCAGCCCAGGCTGTCACATTTTGTAGCCCATAGCTGAGTTTGTGTTTCTGTAGCAAGGCTGTTGTCCCAAAGCTGTTTTTTATATCCTAAAGGGTGTATCTGTCATGAATGGCCTGTGAGTGATGCAGCCGTCTTCTGACAGAGGAACAACTAGTATTTTACTTTGCAGTTTGTCACCAGCTTTAGGCAAGGTCTCAGAAGTGACTTCTGCAATGGCTGGGAGGTAGCAGTAGATGAACACAAATGTACCTTGGAGGTTGTGACTCTGGGTGCGAGTTGGAACTGCCTGCCTGGCAAATCCAGCTTGTAGCAAAGCAGGGAGGACTGTATTCGCTTTCAGTGTGAGCAGTGATTGGTACCTGCTGGCTTCACAATGTAAAAGGAAGCTTTTTCTGTAAATCAGAGGGATTTATTTACCATTGTGATCAGGTGATAAAAATCATCTCTTTTTATACCTTTTCCCTCTGTTTGTTAACTGAAATAGCATAGGTAGCTTAGGGGATGTTATTTTTTTATATGGCAATTTGACAGCACACCCTATACTCCAGAATCAGGAAGCTTATTGCAGTCCCTAATAGCCCATTGTAAGTAAATTGCTGCTTCTCAAGGGCAGGCTGCAGTACTTGATAATGTTACCTTTATTAGCATAGGTGCAGATAGCACAAGATAGACCTAAACCTTCTGTGACAGGAAAGAG